AAAAAAAAATCATAGGACTAGGACGGACGTAGTAAAAAATAGGGCTCAATTTCGCAAATCTTCTACATTCCTCCTGTGGGGGAAACTGTGATGACTGATGTTTATGCGGGTATTATGCGGGTAGCACTGCTCTTGGCCTCGCAGTTATGTGTAACGCATAAGGATGTTCGTGGGGGCCCACACAGAAAAGAGATCCTTTTTATCTGCACAACCAGCATGAAGAAAATAATAACAAAGAGCGGCTTCATCTACGGAACCACCTCTAGAAATACTATCCAACCGGCTCTATAGATAGCCGCGACGCAAAAAAAAACAAGCTCTACACATAGTGAACAGTGCTAAGAAAGTGCTCAATTCAAAAGAGTCCTTTTCGAAGGAGCTCACGGTTATGTATTCCTAACCGATTGAATGCATCTAGAAATGATCTTCCTATCATATTTCCAGACATGGGCACTAACTGTCAGTAAAACAGCCCAGAGCAAGTTTTCTGCTTGAATCTCAGTACCAGGCAGTCGTCTTCCCATTGTTGATTAGCAAATCTTCAACCCGCCGTATGAGGTTTCAATATAATGAATTTGACTACTGCCGTTACTCACCCTGACCTCCATTCCATTATCGGCAGCAATTTTTCTCGCCAATGCATCGTTTCGTGTTGCTAGGCGGATTACCGTATGTGTCGCTTCTGGACAGCTACCGTCATGATCGTCATCACATATCTAAAATCAAGCCAGCCTACTACATATGATTGAATATAGACATCCGAGTGGATGTTTGATCGAAAAGGGGTAACATCCATTGCTATGAACCGACAGGGTTTATACACGAATACAGGTGAGAGATGAGGAAATTGAGATTGGTGGCAGAGGAATAATTGGCGACGTAGAAAACAAGAATCACTAATTTACGGTTTCCGTATTAATAGTAGATCCACTAATCTCCAACCGCTAACGACTCAATCAAAGAGATCTCTTTTAGTTCCCTTGAACTCCGTTGTAAATGGTAAGTAACAGTTCGCCTATCACCTTATCTCAATGAAGTAGAAGTAGGATAGTGTTCAGAGTAAGAAAGGCAATGGGTATCAATCGATTTGTATGTGATAGGGTAACTATCATTCGTCAACAGCATTAGTAGGTACCATTCAAAGCGACTCTCACAGGATGCGGGCAGCAGTTAGTAGGCAGATTGGCTGTGGTAGAATTTCTCTGGAGGAAGATTGAAACAAAGAGAATCCTCTGACGTGAGTCTCCAGAGACTACCTACGAACAACTAACTACCAGTGAGATTGTCCTGAATACGACCTGATGAGCCATGATTAGTGAAATAACTGTATAAATGTCCCACGCTCCTTACGAGTGAATCGGATCAAGAATTGTGCCAAAAATACTGGAGAGGAAAGCATGGCGCACGCAGTATGAAAGCAGCACGTGGTATGAAAAATAGTATGAAAATTAAAAAAGTGAACACACCGAATCATGTTCTTTCGCATTTATACAAGAAAGCGACAATAGTATGATCAGCAACCTCATTATATATGATTACGTCTTGCGAGTAAATAGAAAAGTGGCTCTAAAATGTAGAACTCCAATAATTAATTTTAAGTCAAAGAACACATTAGCTTTGGGAAGATTCCGGCGCTTCACCTAGCTGAACATATGCTCTAATCAAGAATAGAAGACCGAAAGAGGATCTGTGTCCTCCATAAGTCACCTGTGCAACCACACTGAAGAGTAGAATGGGTGAAATGAACCCTACCATTAACCGCACTACTCCCTCCACTCGTCATAAGCCCACGATGCAAACACTAATCAGTGAAATCCCAATTTAGGCGATACACTGCTTTCATAGTCCGCCGGCCGGAGAACAACTCGGCCTGCAGTATCGATCAAGATTTAGTTGTAAACAAGGGGCACGCGCCGCCCCCGGCCGGCGGGCGCATGCTCGCTCGCTCGCGGGCCGCCCGGCGCACTATGAAAGCAGCCGTACATGGCACGATCACCTTGTTCATGTGACATTTGTCGATCAAGAATGGAAGCCTCGTACTGGAGTCAAATCACTGTAATCAAAAAGCACAACAAATGAAATAAAGCAATACCATACCACCACCTATACTCCACCCGCACATGTATACCTATACTCCATGTATAAAACTTGGGAAATCGTCAAAATCCAATCCACAAACGCAAAAATGAACAGAAATGAAAATTCAATACGGCATTCGGCTCTTACAGTAATCCGGCACGTGTTAATACGCAAATTTTTACCCGTCACATATACGACGCGTCGAAAAGGGGCCTTGGGCAAGGACACGGGAAGTGATTAGCAGGTTACTGCAACAGCCGGGGGTGAGTATACTCCAGGTATCGCTATCTTTGAGAACACGACGAATTCATTTTCCTGTTGAAGATTATCCCGGACCAACCATATTCATGTAATTCCCGTTCCCCTGATACAGAAGTTATATATCAACTCATCACAGTGGAGTCAGGGCCGTCTACTTGTGAGATACAGCAGTCAAGCTAAACAAAAGCGTTTGTGGGTTCAATGGCCTACACACAAAAGCGTAATTCATTCAAATTAGAAGGAAAAAATCACAATGACCAAGATGGAAGGAAGCTATATGGGTGTCAAGTTCTGAAGAGATCCAGTGTGTTTAGGCTCTTCAAAGTTTGAAGGTTAATTACGTGGCTCAAGGGCACGCAGGCAACTTTAACGAGAACAAAAAAAAAACAGCGCAGACGAAGGAGTAACGACAGAGGAACTTGGGAAATCCTTCGTTACGACCAAAAGTATGAGAAATGCTCAAGATCCCAATAAGACGCGAAATTAAACGCAGAAGAACGAAGGGGGGACGGGCAGTAGGATCGGTTTTGTGTACTCGATTCGCCGCGCGCGGCAGTCGCGGACCATTCGCCCCGTTATAACCGTTCCAACCTTCTTCAAACAGCTCAATCGCTATGTGATTATTACTTATGGCATGATTCTTTGGTTCTTTTGTTCCTGTATTTTTTACTTGCTGCTGCATCCTGCTACATTCCTTCGCGCGCGGCGTCTCTCACCGCGACGCGACACTTTCGTTCCTACTGCATCACACTCAGAACGAAGAAATGCAGCCCTAACCACCATCACCACTATTATCACCACGAACACATCGTCAAATAGGACAGATGCATAATGACCACGAAAGAAAACAAAAAAAGAAAAATAAAATAATATGAACTGGTCATCAAACCGCCAGGAATGCTACCACAACATCTACACACTTTGACACCGATGAAGAATTTATTCAGCCATGTTACAGCGATGTACCAATATGGTATAAACATATACAAACAACATCTACGATCATGCAAATCTGGCTGCCCTTGGATTCAGCAATTCGGCTTGTATCTCACATCAATTAACGGCATGTAAGTATTTTTGTACTCGTTAGAATTTCGTTAATAGAAGGATAAGGACAGTTTTGATGCAGCATTCTTCAACTTCTGAAACTTATTTTTTTGGTGTACTACTAGCGAAATGATATTTCTGGAGAAGGAGGAAGATGAGATCCAAAACCGAAGGAGGAAGATGAGATCCAAAACCGTACTCAGTAAATAATGCATTCATAGCACCATGAGACTTTACGAGAATGTAGTAATAATCATAACACTAGAACAATAACAATAATTATACAACTAATAAGGAATAAATAAATAGTGGAAATAACAGTAATAATAGTGATGTAGTAGGCGTTCTAGTGGAGCCTCGGCCAAGGTTTTGCAATTTTTATTCGGCTAACATCTCGGATTTCCTGCCTTCGTCAGAGCCTCTAATTGTAAGTCGAAAATGTTTGGGATTCACTTTCACCAGGCAACGTCTCACCTTCGGTTTAGTTCAGGCACAGCCCAAAGTCAGCTAGAACAATCTGGTAAATCACAACCAACACCGCTGCGCCTTAGCCTCACAATGTCAAGCTCGTCCGGTCTCACCCATATCCCTAAACCGATCTTCTACAGGTGACCCCTGGTTGTGATTTACAAGATTGTTCTAGAAATCCATAGTCTGCGCTAAAAGTAAACAGAGGTCTGAAATGTTGCTCGATGAGCATGAATCCCAATTATTTTTTGCTTCCAGACTCTGACCATCAACGCCGACGAAGGCGACAAGCTCGAAACGTTAGCCTAGCAAAAGTAGTAGCGTCTTGGCCGAGGCACCGCGAGATCACCTACTACATCGATATACCGCGCAGATTCCGAGATATAAACATGGTTTCTTCTAACGACATTGCCAGACTGTCAAAATATTGTATTGATATAAGAGGGGATTATCATATTAAGTTGGACTAAATGATAATTATAACAATATTAGTAATATCAAAGCGATATTGGGTAATACAGTTCAAGGGAGTGGCGCATTAACTGAGATGCATGGTCACGGGATCGAATACCGCATCGATATCAGCCCAGGCCAACCTTCATCCCGCTGGGGTCGATTAATTGGTACCAGACCCCTCCGGGAAAATAAAAGCACTGACTCGTACATCGGCTGGCCACAGCATTTCATTGTATAGACAACAGACAATCAATACCCCACTACGATTCTGAATGGAAGTCGAATAAATGGGCGCACTTCTCGGACGGGATTGATTAACACCCAAGGCTCTGACAGATTACGATCAAGAATATCATTAATACATTCCTATTACTGCTAATGATAAAGTGAGCAGAAGGACTTCTTTATCACGCACCTCCAAATACTGTAGAAAAAAATCGCATTGAAATAGTTCTGCAGGGGACTATATTTCCATGCATGAGACTAAACATGACAATTCTTCACTCTGTTTTTCCAAATTACGGAAGAAAAAACCCGAAGATAAAAAGTTGTATAATAAGCTTGGAATACGGACCAAAACAGATGCATGCGAGGATGCGGTCAGGTAAGGGGAAGCTACGAAAGAATAAAAAACGATTACACGCTATACTAGAACACTGGTAGCACTGTCCTCGCAATACACACAATTAATTTACTTTTTTCAGCAAATCACTTCTGTCGGTATAGTAGAAATCATACACTGACGAGGAATCAGCTTAGGAAAAAAAGATTGGACCCTGAGTGCGCCATCGAACGCTTCTGAATTCCTTGCCAAGAAGCAGTATACCAACTACTATCCATCGCAATTTATCTACGGTCCATAGTGGGTTGAGCCAGCAATGAATAAAGGTTGGTAAAAGCGATCAAATGGCAGAAAATACTGGAAATAAAGCTTCTGGCGATTCGAGCAGTAAGTGCAGATTTATAATAAAGCAACGCGTCAGAAGCAAATAAAGAGGAGCAAAACTATAATAGCCAGAAAGTTGACACAAGCGAATACATATTACCCTAAAATTCCATAGATAAGAGCGGGTGAGCCTACCGGTGAAAAAT